ACCTTCTTCAGGATATAGTTATTAAAACATAATTAAAATTAGACGATATTCAAGTCAACATGAAAAGACGATAGACATAAGACTAATCAAAATAGAATAACTGAAATTTTTAAGACGTCGACATTGAAACAACATTAAAACAGCATACTTGCATATTCGGATTTTGTTTTTCCATATTTTCTTCATACTGTCCGGACTGTTCATACTGTCGGATCTATATCCACATATCTGCTTATATATATATATATATATATATATATATATATATATATATATATATATATATATATATATAACAAAAAAAAAAATCTATTTGGACATTAGTGGCAATGATATTTTTATCTAGTTAATGTCTTACCCTACCCAGGCATGCGCACTGGAATGGACATCACACTTTGAGCGCAGATCCATGGTCTTCCGTGACCGATGAATGCCATAATAATAATATCTTACCATTATGTGGGAGGTATTTCTGGGAGGTAAAGCTGGGATTCTGTCCTGTGTTTAACCGTAAAATTCGAAAAACTGTTTTAGATGTAGTTTGAAATAACGCCCAGAAGTTGCTGACCATAATAATGACCCAAACACAAGCGACCGAAAGCTTTCAGAAAAGCTAGGATAATCGAAGGATACTATATGTAGAACATTACATAAAATTAAAAACAGGCAGAGCTAATGATAAAAAGATGTATTTTTATATAATGAAATATAATAATAATGGAAAATTGTAATCTTAGTAATTTAGCTAATGAATTAGAAAAATTATTTTTAAATGCTCCAGATAATTGTTTTTATCTCTCATTAATTAGGTGTTAAATGCGACCGAAATCATAATAGATGTAACTGTATTTGACCTTTTGTCAAATCCTGAATCTGAGTTGTGAGCTTCGTCGTCAGTTCTGCTATTGATTGTAAATTTTTATGACAACGACTGAAGGTAATGATCTCATTGAAAGTAACACACCTTTTTCAGAACAAAAATAACACGTCCATTCAAGTTAAGTCCCTGGAAAGGAGTTACCATTTTTTTTATTTGGAGAAGTTGTGGGGGTTTGTTTACATTGAAAATTAGGCACACTTAGAGAGAATCATTAGCTATGAGAGTCATAAAGTTACTCGCTTCAATCATTAAGAATATGGTTGTTCGATTAACTTTATATTTTGTACGAGAAAAACGTTTCCAGATGAAGAAAAACATTACATTTATTTAACATAATAATCACTATTGGCAAAGACAAGACCCCATTATGAAACTTTATTCGTTGTTAAAGAATAGAATGAAAAAAAAGAATTGATCGCCTTCATAATTTTACCAGTTTCGCTTGGAAACAAAAATAAACGAAACATCACAATTTGCATTATTTACGTTATTCGGACTGTTATCCTCGTCCTCATTGCCATATTCACAACGTTTCGGCCGGAAGAGGCATGACACGTGAAACTAAAACAATCTACCCTGGTGGAAGAAATAAAGGGTTCGTTGTGAATATGCTAATGAAAATGAACATAACAGACCGAATAATGTAAATAAAGCAAATAATCATCGGGTTGAATGATTAATAAGTTAAAAATTAAATAAATAAATAAATTAAGTAAATAATAAACAAAGTAACTAATTATAAAGATTATTATGCTTATAAATAACCTGAATATAAGTAGCGTTCTTGAATGTTTATTATATATATATATATATGTGTGTGTGTGTGTGTGTGTGTGTGTGTGTGTGTGTGTGTGTGTGTGTGTGTGTGTGTGTGTGTGTGTGTGTGTGTGTGGTGTGTGTGAAAAATATAGTTTTAAACGGTGCTTCAAAGGTAAAAGTGTTCTGTATCTGAGATAGAATGTATGTAAATATAAAAATAAGTTAACACTGAGGTCGACATCAAGTTTCATACAACAGGTCATGTGTGGTGTACTTTGGCTTGGCTATTTATATATGCTGGTCAATGGTGCATTATGGATAATAAGGTATATTATATTACTCCAGCGGTTATTAGGTGAGCGATAATCGCTATGTTTCGGATTATTCTAGAGGTTATTGAGTAAAAATAATTGTGGATCCAAATGCAGTTATTTGTAGGTATTTTGTCGTGTTATTTGTTAATTTTTTATTATTATTTACTTAATATTTGTTGTTGCTTATTATTATTTTACATGTACTTATGTTTTAGTGTGTATTTGCTTAATTCGTTTATTTATTTATTTGCTTAGATATGTGTTTATTTTATTATGTTCTGGGGCTAAATCCATCTCTTCTTAGCTCAAGAACAAATAAAAATAACCACAAACGAAGTAAATATCATTAATCACTGACGAAAATCACTATTATTCGACAACGAAGAAGCGTGGTTAAAGAAAGAAGGAACCGTCGTTGTTACAATGGGAAGTTATGATGGCGCGTGATTAATCGATAAAACAAAAACGACGAGCTAAAAATTCTGAGAAACAGACAACCAAATGAACAAAACTAGAAAAATAATCATAAATATTTTAAAAGTATGGGGTTCGATACAGAAATAAATAGTATCCGAAAAGAAGTAGATTTCCTAGATTTCACACTCAACCTAAGATATGCAACATATCAAACATATAGAAAATCCAACGACCAACTATTTTACATCTTTCAACCACCTACTAACAATAATCAAGCAGATCACACAGATTATCTGAAAATTCTTCTAATGAAATCGTATTCAACAAAACCAAAAAAGATCATGGAATAAACTTAAAGGGAGTGAATTTTTGGCAACACTCACATACATACCGAACAGTATAAAAATAACAACACAAAAAGAAACATCATATACTTCAACCCAGCATACAACAAAAACGTAAAAACAAATGTAGGAAAAATATTTATTAAACTTTTCCCGTCATCATTAACTCTCCACAAAATATTCAACAGAAATACAGTAAAAATCAGCTACAGTTGCACCGAAAATATGCCGCAAATAATAAAAACGCACAACTGAAAAATGAGCAACAAACCACTCGCGCAAATCAAACAAAGCTGTAACTGCAAAGCAAAGAACGAATGTCCGTTACATTGCAATTGCTTGCAAAACAATACAAAATACCAAGCAACTATAAAATCAGCAAATAACAAGGATAACAGATAGCATACGAGTAATTGAATGACCCTGGCAATAGAGAAATTACGCACACAAAACATTCTTTAAAAATACGCGAACAGCACAATGCTTTCTAAACATATATGTGAAATAAAAAATAATAAAATCAAATTACACCAAAAATATCAAGTCAAATAAATAAAACAGCATCAGCCGACAACAATAAATCCCAAATCTATAAACTCTTCTTAGCGGAGAAAATAGCTATAATCACCTTCCCAGGCCAACACAAATTACTAAATAAGCAATCAAAATGCAGATAAGAATACAGAATTTTATACCGTTACTTCAGTCAGTTATACACTCTTAGATGATCACGTTTCTTTCTTGACTGATGAGGAAGATTTTTTCCCGCAGTAGTTTTCCCATTTCTTTCTGTGGTAGACCAGCTGCCATCCATATATGCTATAGAAGAACAGGATTCATACCTTTTCAACTTTAAGTGAATATAATGAATTCGACTGGAATTCGAACTCGGCTCTCCGATGCCTTAATCCGAGCCGCTATCCATTACTCCACCGTGCCTCCATACGTTACTTAAAAATCGAAAACGAAAAATGAATACCTTGTAAAATACTACAATGAAAAATATAACTATATTTGCCATATACAACGCAGATAATATAACATACTTTAAATAAAGCAAATACTTTAAACTAAATCCTCGAAAAAAATGTTAAATTTTTTAGAATAAACAAAAAAATAAATAAATAAACAAATTAAGTAAATAATAAACAAAATCTACAAATTATTAATGCACACATAAACGCAAATAACTATAATAATAATAAACAAGAACAAATTATTATGTAATCAATAAATAATGAGTAAAAACTGAACAAAAAGCTATGAAATAGCCAAAAATAGCGACATTTAAATCCACACTTATTTCTACTAGTTAGCCTCTAAAATAATTTGAAACATAACCTATAACGTAACATTGCTCAGTATATATTAAATGCTAAACCAAAACAAAATGCACATGGCTTAAAATTAACGTTCAAGCAGGAAATAGACTGATGTTGACCTCAATGTCCACTTCTATATAGGTATAATAGCTGGCTAATAGTTTCCTAGCTTAAACGCCTTTGGTTTGTCAATCCCAGCTGGAGACGCCTATTCAGGTATACTTATGTTTGTTCAACACCCACTGAGTCCGCCTGCAAATATGCTGAAGAGCGCATTATCTGGCGTAATAGCCGGTTTGAAAAAGGTCAGTACGTTAAAACGCTCGGTCACGATGACTTGTGACACCGTGCCAGCACAACTATCGAGGGCTTCAGAACATTACCGTCTGCCCAATTTCATTCACAATGCTACTGCGAACCCGTTGTATGGTGTACAGTCACTTTTCGCGCACTGGAATCGCCTACCCAGACCGATATCAAGAATTTGCCTTCATGACAAAACTCATGTTGAAATTCGAACCCGAGTCTCTTAATCGGAAAGCGATCACTCTAACCACTCTGTTAAGTAGCCACACATGCGCACACACACACACATACATATATATGTGTGTGTGTGTGTGCGTGTGTGTCTGTGTGTGTGTGCATGCATGCGTTTGCGTGCGTGAGTATATGGATTCGTGTATCAAATTATGTATATAATTTTGTCGGCGTATATTCGTGGCTACATATATGTAAATATCAATATGCATACATGTTTCAAGAATTTGGCTTAGGTGAGAACTGGCTGAATAATTAATGGTGATGCCAAAGATCAATTCCTCGAGTGAAATTTATGATTCTTAATCTGTAGCCGAAATTCTTACCCCCATCACCATCGAACCCGACCACTAACCACCTAATCGTCGCTCATTCCCTCTTCTCGACCCCATTGCGAAAAACCTGAACTTTATAAGCTCATTTGATAATGCCTGATGCGCATGCGCACAGATTTGTGAATCGTGTGGCGCTCACACGAACTCGTCGCAAGGATAAACATGCACTATTCTGGCATGCAAGATGGTATGAATGTATGTTAAGAACGTCAAATCAATTATGTTTGCTTTATTCTCTGTGTGTATGTGTATGTGTATGTGTGTGTGTGTGTGTGTGTGTGTGTGTGCGTGTGTGTGTGTGTGTGTCTGTGCCTGCGCATGTGTGTGCGTGGAGAGTTTTCTCTTTTTCTTCTTTCTTTTATTCTCGGTCGATGCTGAGAAATCAGTTGCATAAAATGAAACTGGGGTTCCAGTAAGTCGCAAGTCTCGTTCTAAATCTCGCTAATTATCGTGGCTGTTCCGCCATCTTGTAAAGCCTTTGGGCGAGTGTTATGAAAAAAAATTAAATCATTTTTTTACTGATGTTACCGCTTTCAATTTTTTATATTGCCAAATTAATGGCGCTTATTTTGTTTGATTTTTTTAAATATTCGTTTGTTGTTCTGTTTCCCTTCAGCACTTATATATTTTTTCTGTATTTATTAAAGATTTTTTCCTTTCCTTTCACACAATTACAATTTTTTGTCGATTTCGACTCCGCTTGGCTCTTTTTTATTTGTTTTTTCAATATTCTTAGATCATTTACTTTCGTCGTGATTTTTTCTTTTAACTTTTATCCATTTTTATTCGTTTTTTCTTATTTCATACTTTTTATTTATGACTCCTTTTGTGTTGTCTATTTTCTTTTCTTTTTTCTTACACTCTTTGATATTTCCATAATATTTTTGAGTCTTTAATCTTTTCTTCACATTTCCTCTCTTTCTTATCCTACTTATTTTTTCTTTTTCTTTTTCTTTTTTTTTTTTTTTACTCGGGCCTTCTTATCCAACAAGTTTTTCTTTTCTCTCTTTCTTTTTAAATTTACTGTGTCTGTTAATCGTTTTTTCTCTTTTTTTTCTGCCATCCATTTTATCCATCTTTTTGCTGCCATCCATTTTATCTCTCATCAAGAAAGAAAGGTTATCATAGCAAGCTAGGCCTTGTGTCAGACGAAGGTAAGCCTTCTAAATACCTAATAAACGTTCCACCGTGGAGCAGCGGTTAGTAAAATAATCTTGTAATCTCTAATTTTTTTTAGTGAGGAAGATCCTTATTAAGTGCTTTTCTCATGTACCCTTGCGTCAGATTAAGGTAAAACTAGTAACTAGCCAATGGACACTTATCTGTAGTTCAATCGTTAGCAAACAAAATTAGTAGACTTTAATATAGGGAGTACGTTCCCTATTAGGTATTTCACTATTGTGACTAAATATCATAGTATGATTAGAAAATACTTGATAGTCACATCACGACGGAAGAATGGTTATCAAGGTAGCCATCATGGAAAATGAATAGCGTACTGAGTTCAAAATCATTGATAGTCTACTGCGTTCACGTTTGAGAAAAGGTATTAGTTAATATTTTTTGTCTCTCGACAGTTATGGGTAAAATCGCAGGACATATTAGACTCTAAACTTGGGCGACCCCAAACCTAAGAAAAGGAAAAATTATAAATTTCAAACCGTGGAGAATTCACTAGAAAACTACCTCACTATCTTTCCCAAGAAATCATGATAATTTCTAGATAATAAAGAAAAAATGAAAGCCAGTAAGGACACAGTATTTAAAAAAGTGAGTGTAATCGCCACCGCGTTTTCAACAAGTGTTATCTTGTGTCAAGATTAGAAAACACCGAATAGATGCCTCTTGGAATTGTAATGATTAACAGTTTAAATTCTTCGTGTAGCAAATTATTCCTTACCGGATGGCACACAATTGAAGTACTTGTATTAAACGAAGTTAAGCTTTTCAAAATGCCAAAATATTCTTTTAATTATGAACAATAAGTGTTGTTTTTACGTACTAAGCGTCTACAAGAGTAATTTTTAATATATTCAGCTTGGCTTAGTTTTGGGAACATGACCACATATATGAAGCATCGGGTTAGGATGACATTTTCTAATTAGTAATAATGGCCAACCAAACTAACAAAGGGCGCCATCTTTAAATACTAAGCGTCACGGAATATACTGAAATCAATAAGGTCAAAGAGAAATATCGAGAACCTACCTAACCAAATGTATGTAAATGCAAAAAAAGGAACTACGGTGATAATAAAGAGAAAAACAGTTGTAAAGTATAGGAAGTCGTGGAGATCCATAATTGTTTATATCCTGAAAAGACACGGCATATAAAGAAAAAGATGAAAACTATTAGTTTGGTAATATTAACCGTTTCCTTATAAGGAAATATTTGGCATTCATTGACCGAAGAGCCATTGCTACTTTCGGTTGAAATTTATAAAATCATTCGGTTAAAACATTTTTTCAAAAAAATAATTTTCCCAAGTCCACTTGCTGTCATCGTTCTTTCGAGTACTGATGGGAGTTTCCTTCCTAACCTTTTGTTTGAAGCGGTGTGGAAAGTCAACATCTTGATTATGTCATTGTTTTCTCTTCAAGTTACATATGCTATCCATTTTAGCTGTTGCCATTGTTGAAAGTCCTCAAATGATACAGTTTCTGTCATTTGGTACAGTATTTTGTTTGTGAATCTGTAGCACCAGTCTACGAGGTTCAAAGAAGGATCGTTCTCTCTAAGAAATACAGACCACAGATACATAGCCCCCAGTGAGAATCGAACTCACTTCTCCATAATAACGATCAGCACGGCTAATACTTTAAGCATTAATTTATGCCGAGATTCCCTCTGTCTCATATTAGCTGTTACATTTAGTATATTAAATGTGAATGCAAATGTACTACTTATTATGGGACATAAGTAGTGTTCGTGTTTATAATCACTTAAATTGTAATGCCTCCAAAACGAAACTGCTCTCATTTAACCACCATAGAGAAACTTTCCTTTTCCATCAACATGGCTTTTGGAGAGCATGGCTGATCATGGAGAGCAACATACTCTGCCTTCTTGGCCACAACTGAATTGAAGTGGAACGACTACATCGGATCAATAGCTGCATCTACTGCAAGGAAAGTTGGATCACTATGTGAAGGTTTTTCTCGTCAGAGTCCATCTTTCACATTTACAAATCTACTATTCGTCCGTGCATTGAATACAGTTGCCATATGTCTGTTGCCCCTGATGTTTATCTCGAAGTCCTTAACAAACTCCAAAGAAGAGTCTGCAATATAATCTGTAGAATAACAATAATAAACAGCGCTTACCGGCGTAAAGGTCCCAGCTAGCAGACAAAAATAAAGCAGGTTGTAACTTAATACAAACCCTGCAAACTAACTGATGAATCAAGCTGGTATTTATATAGAAATACCTCCACTCAGGTACCAGCAGCCAATCACAGCCCAAACAATGGACTATCCCACTTTAGCACAATGCAGAATCTGCTACCAGCAAATATCAGGCGCCAACCTTCAGGGCAGCAAACTGGGGCTTTGTCGGTGGTGCATGAGCAATACTTCTGTAGAAGTAGGAAGCCCATTCCGTCTTTGCTCCAAATCTTAACTTGACATTTTCACTTCAGTCACTTTCTTACTGACGTGACGTGGCTCCACTCTATTTTTTCTACAAATGGCAACTGCTCTGGCGTGCTACTAGATTGACATCTAGGTCCCACCCTTTTACTGTTGAATTAGTTAAATGTAACCCCCACTTCAACTCCAACTGTTTCTTTTCTGGTACTTCCCGCCTGTGGAACTTCCTGCCGTTTCCTTGCTTCCCTGATAACTACAATCTTCAAAAATTTAAATGCAATGTCAATCGCCATCTTCTTGAACCCCATTCAGCTTTAATCCTTTCCTCGGTCCCCCTCTATACCAAGTCTCTTCTCTCACTTTCACTCTCATTAACCCCCTTCGTACCAGTGGCATTCCTATCTTGCTTGGAGGGAAATGATTTAAAAAAAAGTATTTTTTTCTTCCTTTAAATATGATTGCTTTCGTTATATATCCTTGTCTCATTCTATACATTAATGCTGAATTCCTTTTTCTCCTATGTCGGGATTTTTCTTAAACGTAGCCTCATACGACACAAAGTCGACCTATATCTCAATATTTTAATATTCTATTGCATTTATACTTTCTTTTTTCACTTTTTCTTCATAAAACCTTTCTTTTTTTATTTTTGTTTATTTTTTATATCAATTTTTCTATTATTTCATTTATTTTTTTTAGTTTCTTTCATCCCAATTGTTCCAATCCTCCTTTCTTCACTCTTTTTTTTTAATTCTTATATTCCATCCTTAAAATATTTTTCTGCTTTGATTTTTTATTTTATTTATTTATTTTTTGTCTTCGGTTCCATAATATCGACAGAGTTAAAGTCAAGAAGCAGAAGACGTGTGTCAAGGTGGTAATTTGACTTACGAAATACATTCGAGACAAAGAGGAAAACAAATAAAATTACCGCCATTTCTATTCTTTTTCGTGTTGTGTTGTATTTTAACCGTAGGGAAAATGACGTTAGGACGACAATTGCAAAAATGAAATGCAAACCACGTAACAAAATACATGTTTAATATATATATATATATATATATATATATATATATATATATATATATATATATATATATCTGTGTGTGTGAAAGAAAGAAAAAATATATAAAACGCTGAAAGTATATATATACATTAATATATACATATAAATATATATATATATATATATATATATACAAAGACACTGAAAATATATAAAAAATAATGAACAATGAACATATATATATATATATATATATATATATATATATATATATATATATATATATATATATGTATGTATGTATATAAAAACGTTTGTGCTCCCCTGTATATGTGTATTAAGAAGTGCTGAAAAGTTATGTTCGACTAAAAGTTATTCCCAAATAATTCTGAAATACAGTCCCAATTTATGAAGTGATTAGATCCGAAAACTTTTCGACACACTCTCGTATATTTATTTCACTTTATATGCATACATGAGTAACTATTTACGCCAACACACACACACACACATATATATATATATATATATATATATATATATATATATATATATATATATATATATATGATGTGGGGGCCAAAGTTGGGACCACAGAAGTAAAACATGGAACACGGATTAGATGTAAGAAAGATATATTAACAACAGGTTACAGAGATAGTGTAAGAGGAGCTTACTATATGTTAGTGTCAATACTGGTAGTCGTACTAGACTCTCTCTGTCACTCTGTCTCTCTCTATCTCTCTCTCTAGAGCGCTATGTCGCCTACTTAATATAGGCCTGGAAGAGTCTATTGTGTAGGTAGTTTCCGGTCTCACAATACCCCACTTCCAAAGAGTTTTCTTTTTGAAAAGGAGAGAAAAAATAAAACTGTTAATACTTTTTCCTCTTGGGATTTTCGTCGAGCAGTTGAGTAAATTTCCTTTTCCTTCCTGAGCGTCGCACTTCAGGAGAGACTTGGGGCATGTCGAGATCGAAGTGATCGAAAATTATGTCGATCGGCTCTTCACAGTTATTTTGTAGTGATTCCGATTCCTTCAAACGGCATTTTCTGAGCTGGTTCCAATGGCGTTTGTGAATGTTTTTCAGTCCTTGGACCATATATACCAGTTCGCCAATTCTCTGCTTTATGTAGCCCACTTCCCAGGATGTCATTGTTCTTGTACGCCTTGAAAAAGACATTAGCCAGGATTGAAATATTTCCTATGAGGCGATACGGTGATTTTTTAACTTTGCTTGCCGTGGAATAAGTTTGTCGAAGACAGACTTTATTTTCCTTGCGAACATTGTTTCTGCAGGCGAGCTTCCCATAGGCGTGTTCGGATTAGGGGTTATCCGATACACCTGCAGAAATTGTTGCAATGCTCTATCTGTCGGTGTGCCTAGTGCCTTTCTTAAAGCCCTTTTTAAAGTGTCCACGAACATTTCGGCCTGGCCATTCGACCTAGGGGGTACTGAGGCGTTGTAATGTTGTCCACCTGATATGACTTGCAGAAGTCTCTAAATTCACTTGATGTGAATTGAA